AGATGTTATTTATTTATGTGAGAGAGAGAAGGCAGGAGAGCACAGATGGAGAGGGAGAAACAGGCTCCCCGCTGAGCAGAGAGACCTCTAGGGGGCTTGATCCTAGGACCCTGAGATCATGACCTGAACTGAAGGAAGGCACTTAACTGACTGAGCCACCCAGGCACCCCTACACTAAATCAATTTTAAATGATCATTTCTTCCTTTCCTTCAGAATTTCCTTGAGTCCTTCCTTTTATACCAACTCCCGAAACTCAGTAGCATCAGTCACGTCTTTTAACCTAAAAACACAAGTTTTAATCACAATGAATCCTTTTGGTTCTTATTTTGCTTTTCTTGCACAATTGAAGAGTATGTTTTCTAAGCCAATGGTTTTTGACTCTGTGTACAGATTAGAATCACCTGCAAAACTTAAAAAAAAAAAAAAAAAAAAGGAAAACCAAAACACCAAGGCTCAGGACTCTCCCAAGACCTGAGTGGGGGACCCAAGCATCAGAATCTCTTTTTAAAGATACCCAGTGAGTCTAATATGCAGCCATGGTTAAGAACCAAAGCTCTTAGCCCACACAACTGTAAGCCACTCAGAAATAATGCAGTGATGAGAATAGTAGCAAGAGGAAGCTGATCCCACATTTAGATTTCCCTATGGCTAAATCCCAGAGCAGGCCATTGTCCCATGTATAACTAGTTAACCTGTATACTGCATTACATGACTGGATGGATATAGTGATTACCCTTGACAATATGGATATGATTCAAAACCTAAATAAGCTGAATAGTACTTAAAGATATTTTAAAAAGAGTATAGTCAAAGGTCACATTAATTCACATTATCTTCCTTAGTAGTCTGTGGCTTAAGAATTATACATTTGTGGGGCGCCTGGGTGGCTCAGTGGGTTAAAGCCTCTGCCTCCGGCTCAGGTCATGATCCCAGGGTCCTGGGACAGAACCCCGCATTGGGCTCTCTGCTCAGCAGGGAGCCTGCTTCCCTTCCTCTCTCTCTGCCTGCCTCTCTGCCTGCTTGTGATCTCTTTCAAATAAATAAATAAAATCTTAAAAAAAAAAGAATTATACACTTGCAATAGTCTTTCCCTTTCCCTGCCTTTTACTATAATTAATGCAGCAAGCTCAAGGGAGGGGTGGAGGAAAGTCCTTGTTCTCTTTCTTTCTTTTTCCCTAAGAAGTGATTTCCTAAATGGTTTCTCCTGTAGTGGGTCAAGAAAAAGACAAGGCTGAAGGTGATTAGGAACCGTGGCACTGAAGGGAACCCAGACATTCTATAAAGAGCCTTCAATAAATAGGCAACATTAAGGCAAAGAAAAGATCCTGGCACCCAAGAGGCAATAGAAGAGGGCAATGGGTATTGCCTAATTACAAGAGCACTGTGGACACATTCTGCTTCTGTACCAGACTCTGGCACAATATTTTGGTTATATTGAATTTTCCCATCACTAATTGCTTAGAATTTCCAAATTGAGCATTTAATTGTCCAAAGTGGAAAGGTGACTGTGAAAGAACAGACTTATGCTCTATAAATGCTATACTGTAATCATAATTTGGATAAAGAGATTTTTACTGACTGGTTTGGCTCAGGAAACCTTGACTAAATTGACTGGGACATTGTTCATCACTTTTTGGTAGCATAAGTATCTTTCTCCAGCTCTGTCATTTCTCGACTACTTTACTTTGTAAAATGTCATTTTGTTCAGATACTTCTTCAGAACAATTGTTGCCAGGATCTGAACTGGCACTGGAAGAAAACAGGTTATTTGTAACAAAAAGAGATAAAATTGTAGTATTACATAAAGCATTATGACTGCTTCCAGGTGATTTAAAAATCTATGTCTTAATGATCTCAATTTACTTTTTCTGCCAGATCCTTCAAAATTGCCTGGAAATTACAAAGCAGGCTTTTTGCAGTAAATTCTGACTCCTCAATACCTTCATTGGATATTAGCCATTTACTGGTATATGTGTATGTAATATATTATTAGTGTCTGAACTATCTTAAACTAATTAGCAGTGTTTCACCAATTAAAACAATGCCTCTTAAATAATGAACTACCATATAAATTTCTAAATCATTACTACTGCTTAGCACCTTCTTTTATATTACTGGCTTAATCCTGAAAAAAATGTGATATTTCTAAAACCTAAGGTTTCTTTTAAAATTTCTGAGTTTTAACAGATTAATTTACAATATTTGTTTTTGAGACATGGCTTCTTCAAGACATTGAACATTATACCATATCTAAATACGTATTTTTATATTTACTTCTTATATATTATTATCATTTTTAAGGTGAAGGAGTATTATTTGTCAGCAGGAACACATCTTTTTTTTTTTTTTAAAGAGGAGTCATATTTTTAAAAAGGAATTCTTTTTTAAAAATTTTCCAAATTCAAGAATTTACTGTTTGCTTAGGAAATAAGACCTAGAGTTCTACTGCAGAGAAATATTGTTTTAAGTTATCTTAAAATGCTAATATAGAAATGTTTACTTTTGTATTAATACATCTTGTCACATTTAACAGAAAGTTCTCCTGTGTACTCAAGATTCATTCCCTTTTGTTTTTTTTTCTGCTTGATCTCCGAGCAGAGTCCTCAAAAAGAGGGAAAATGACAGTAACTTTAAAGAAGAAACACACCTTTACTCAATAGTTAAACTAGAATAGTAAAAACAGACCAAGATTAAAAAAAAGAAAGAAAGAAAGAAAGAAAAAGCCTTCTTGCAGAAGCAGGTGCACTACAAAGCTCAATTAGTTCACAGACTGAGGACACTGCTTTTCCTAAGTCCCACCCCCCCCCCACCACCCCGCACTGGGAACAGTTTTCTGAGTCTCCCTCTCTCGACTCTCCATGCCTCGAGTCCTAACCAGGTTTTTTCTTTTTTGCTTGAGAGAACGAAAAAAAGTTGACAGGGAAGGAATATCCGGTTCATCTCACGAAGGGTTTTCTATTTTCAGTAAGTTTTACTGTTCTCCAGATGGCTCCCGATAGTCCCTAGACACACAGAGTCACTAGGCTTCCTCGCGACCCTTTTGAGAATCTATTTCATGAAAACCAGGAGCTCTCTGTAACCCCCAAAACAGACCTACCCAGAATTTCGCATGTGATTCCACGTCGTTTGTCGACCCTCATCTTTGCATCCCATGTTATAATTGTCTGTTTCGAGTTAAAAGGCAAAGAACCCTCTAACGCCTTCCCAGGGGCCTAAAAGACTCCTCCGACCTCCCAAAGTGAGTGCCTGACGAGGCCAGTGGGAGCTCAGACCTTGACCGCGCGCCCGAGGAGGTGGATCCCTGCTACCCACTGGCTTTAACCTGAGGAAAAGTTAACTTTCGGCTCCTTGCAGGTCTCCAAAGTCCGTCTTGCACGCGCCGGACGGAGCTGGGCCAAGGTCTCGAAATGTGAGACCAGGCAAGAGAGACGTGTGGACAAAGCTTCAGGGCACCACCGGCCGCCGCACGCAAACCCACCCGAAGGACGGGGCCCGGGGGTTCCGGGCCGCGCCCGCTGCGGGTCTGAGTTCAGCCTCCAACGCCCCCGTCTCCCCCTAGGAACGAGAGCCTACCGCGAGCCCGCCCCGCGCGGCGTCCGACGCCGAGGATCCCCCAAACCTCGAGACCTCGGCTGCAGCCCGGCGTCCCTCGCGGGGCGTCCTTACCTTGGGGTTGGTCAGGAGTTGGTGCTCGTCGTTGTGCAGCAGCGCTCTGGAGTTGGACTCCGAGTTGTTCACGTAGACCTGGACGCAGGGGTACTGCGAGGTGCCCCTGCAGTCGGCGCCACAGGTGAAGGTGCACTCGAAGACCTCGCCGATCTGCTGCACCGACAGCACCGTGCAGTTGGCCGCCGTGGCTTGCAGATCCTGCAGCGCGGGACTGAGCCAGCAGAAGCCGAAGATAAAGAGCGACACGACGCCAGAGATGATGAGAAACAAGCCGAGCCGGATGCTCTTGTCCTCGGCTTCCGTGTACTCGTAAGCCACCCGGAGCTTCGCCATCGCCCCCCACTCCGGGCGGCTGGCGCGCTCCCCCCGCCCCCTCCCGCCCCCGGCGCCGAGCCCGACTGCCTCGGGCGGGAGGAGCCGCAGCCGCCGCCGCGCGACAGCAGGGGAGTGGGCGGCGAGGGGGAGCGCGCGAGAACAAAGGGGCCAAGGCCGGCGACGCCCCCGGCGGCGGCAGCGCCCCCCCTGCCGCCCCCAGCCCCGCCGCCAGCCGGGCCCCGGAGGCTCACGGTGCGACCGCTGCTTCAGAGCCTCCTGCACCCTCGGGCGCGAGGAGCGCACGGGCGGCTCCTGCCTCCAGCGCCCCCTGCCAGCCTCCGCCCCCGCGCTCTCCCCGCCTCCCCCACCCCGCCTCCTCTCGCCCGGTGTCTCCCCTTCTCCATCGCCCGCCGGCAGCTTCTCCGGCTCTTCGGGCAGCTGCCCCGAGGGCAAGCGCGGCTGAGCTCGGCCGAGCCCCGGGGCTCCCCCGTGCGGGAGGCGGCTCCGCCCGGCCCCACCCGCCGCCGACCCGGGCCTTTCCGCCCCGCCCGCCCCAGGGACGTCTCCCGTGGGCGAGGGGCGGGCGAGCACCGGGGAGAGCGGCGGCTGGCGCTTGAGATCCTCCTTAAATCTCCCTTGGAGAAGCGTCTGAGATGAAAGCTTAGGATCGGTAGAGCCGAACCCGAGTGAAAGTTAAAACAAAAACAGAAAACAGGCAGAGGGCGTAGTGCCAGCGGAGCGGCGGGAATCTTGAACTCCAAACCGGGATTGGTCAGTCAGCCGCGAGAGCGAGTCAGCCGCCAGGCAGCGGGCGCTCGGGGGAGACGGGCTGCCGGGCGCGGCCGGGCGGGTGGGGAGGGAGTTCCCGGGCGAGCGGCGGGCGCTTGGCGCGCGCCGGGGAGAATCAGCCACACGTTCTCGGGCCTGGGCGGGCGCGCGGACCTGCACGCCGCGGGGCGGGAGGCGTGACCCGCCGCGCGCCGCCCTTCCACGCCCAGCGAGCGAAGTAACGGTCTGGCGGCGGGGTCCTAGCCCTCCCAACCGCCTTGGCGCGGGCCGCGCTCCCCGACCCCCAGCCCGCCCCGAGGGCGCCAGCATAGGAGTGAAACAGGCTGATTCAGGCGGAGTTTGCTGTGGGAACATCGCGCGTGGGGCAGGAGCCTGCGACTGGCAAGACCAAGGAAACCCGCTGCCTGGGTGCTCGCTGGACCTATCGGAAACTTAGGTCTCCCGCAGCCGGGTGGACCGCAACTCTATTTGCCCCAAGGCTGGGACGGACTGAATAGGGACCGAAGGAAACAGGCGGAGAGGTTTGCAGCCCTGGAAAGAGACACCACTTACCCCATCAGGATGGTCCCCCCTGGCTCCCTGGACTCCCGAGAACAGAATCATTTCTGTTCTCTTTCCTTCCTTAGGAGCCCTGCCACCCCTGGCCCACCACGGAATTTGTAGATGAGCTTTCCAGGAGCGCTGTGCAAGGCGACAGCGGCGTGCAGACCCACTTTGGGACAGGTATCGTTTCTAGAGCTGCGTCCTGCTCTCTTAATTCTTCCAGTTTCTCCCTCCACTCCCACCTCCTCTGTGCATACCTTCAGCCTCTGTCCTTTTCATGATTTTTTTTAAAGATTATCTTTTTCGGAAGCCACACTTCTATCACAATATCAAAGTTGAGAACTATCTCGACCTACATTTTGAAGAATCAGAATATTCACTTCTTTGCAAAATATGTGAACATATCTTTTTCTTGACTTGCAAGCCCCAAATGGATATATTCATTTAAGAGTATTTATGAATGTGGAAACACCGTGTCATGGAATTCTTGACTTCTTTCTTGGATTTCAAATGTTACTTAACTGGCACTGAGTATCTTTCAACTGCACTTCTGATATTTTACTTTGAAGTACTCCATTCCTTTATGTGGAAGGTAACAGTATTTCTAAGGGAGGGGCAAAGCAAGTTTAATTAGAGGAAGATCCTAAGTGTTTTTCTGAAAAAAAATTAAGATATCGGGTTTGGAAAACTTCCAGATCAGGAGGAGACTTTTGTACTCACGTACTTTTCAAGCTTTGACAGAATAGATTTCCTTCTTTCTTGACTTAAGAGTTACATTATTTTCCCCCTTTCTGTTGGCATTTGTTAGTGGTTGTTAGTGTTAGACACTTAGACAATTGTTAGTGATTACATGACGCGAAAGGGAAATGAGTTCAGTAGTTGAGACAGCTTAACCTGAGATCACAGATCTTCAGCCTGAATCTTTTTCCTACTGCAGGTTATAATCATCTTCCTTTTCACAAAGGCTCAAGCCAGTCTAAGATCTGAGGCAGTGGTGAGCAGATAACAAGATCCAATTATTCCTCCTTGGTGTGCTGAGCCACTTAATCTTGAGGCAGATCTAACTCCTGTTATTGCTCAAAAAACACAGGGATGAGGTGCCTAAAGATAATTTAATAAGCATGATTAATTTTCAATGATTCCAGAGCTTCAGGAGTTCTGTGAATGAACCCTCTGCCTCCAAACTGAAGCAAGATGGTCTTCAAGTACCAGAAAATTCTGTTTTAATTTAACCTAAATTCTTGAGGGCTTTTAAATCCATTTTCCCTGGAGTTCTGCATTTACTCGCTCCCTCCTTAAAGTATTTGAAGAAACTGTTGCCATCTAGCCTTCTGTTCTTTAAACATTTACTTTTCTCCCTTACTTCCTATTTTTAAATTAGCTTTGCTACTCTTCTGAACCTTTTCATTATCTTCATGTCTTTTTTATTGAAAGTCAAACCTATCAAAAGACTTACCACATCAAATAAATTTCTATTTTATCCTTAATGGAACACTGTGTTTGTTATTAGTTTCATTTACTTGAGGTGGAGCTGCCATATCCCATTTCTAACATTTAATAAGCCCCTCAGTTTCTGCAAACCAGTCACTATGGACTTTCTAAGTTAGGATAGTGATAGGAACCCTTGGAAATCTCAGAGATGCTAGGCTCTGAAGTCACTTAGTATCTTGTTTCCTGTGGAGGGCAGAGGCAGTACAGAAATAAAAGCTAGTTCCTTCTTTGCATGTTTGCCACCAATCAGAATTAAGATTAAAAATGTGATACACAGAACCAGACCAACTTATTTGGTGTACATCATTATCTGCAGCAATGTTTTCAGGACAATCATAGCCAAGCCTTGATGTTCTTTTTAAAAGAAGACTAAAACCCATCTAAGCAAGAACATTAAAATCATTATTTATAATTTGTTTTCATGATCAGTATTCTTCAAGAAGCCTTGTGACTAATGCTAAAGTTGCAATATACAATTTCATATGTATATATACTTCTGTTAAAAGATTCCAAAAAGAATTATCATAAGGTGAGCTTTGGTATCCTAGGAGTAGAGAGGAATTTAGAGTATGTTGGGAAAATGTTTCTATACTGTTTTAAAAATTAGTGCATTGTGAAGTTTCTCAACCACTATACATTCAAATAAAATACACAGGAGAGAAAAATTAATATTTTATCATCACCTTTTCTCATTAAAATTCACCTTCTGGATTGGTTTTAGACATTTGTAACCAGAATAATTAGATAAAAATAAACATGAATGAAAACATGAGTGATCCAACAAAGAGAACTACATAGAAAATTTTATCTTTTCATTCAGCTTAGGCAATTGACAATTTTGTTGTCATAGAAAACTTTCTACTTTAGTCTTGACTTAAAAATGTTTACAATTGAACTAAATCATTTCCAGCTTGAGGATATCAAAAAACTAACTTTCTTGCCATGCTTCATGGTGAATGTTACATAATAGTTTCAGAATTTCAAATTCAAAAGAAATTTTCTGTGTAGCCACTATTTTTCTATTTTTTTCTGCATAATCTTTACCTATTATAGTGAGCATATAATTAATACTGAGAACACTACTTTACTTTCTATAATTATATTACAACAGTAAGGGCTCTTAATTATCACCTAATTTAACATTAAGCAGGAAAGGAAGCTCTCAAAGACTGCACTTTGTTTGAAATAGTAAAGAATGATTATTAAAAATATTTTTTCAAGTTCAGATTTGTTGGCATATAGCCTGTGTTTGCAGTTGAGAAAGGGAAGCACAAGGCAGTATCACTTCATTATTAGTAATTCATAATATGGTAGTGGAAGTATGGCTAGAGTTCCTAAATTCTTACCACCTGTTATCTCTCATGTTAATGGAAGTGATCTTCTGTGGGAGGTAATATATACACATATGTAGTAAAAGGGAAATCAGCTTTGGAATTAGAAAGCAAGAAGCTAAAAGGTTTTAGTCCCAACATTTAATACTAAATAATTTGACATAAATAATTGGTGTTCTTACATTGTTTCCTCCTCCTCATATGAAAGAGTTGGACTAGGTTTTTTTTTTTAAGATTTATTTATTTTAGAGAGCCCAGAGCATGGAGGGGCAAAGGAGAGGTGACCTGAGGCAGGGCTTGATCTAATGACCCTGAGATCATGACTTGAGCCCAAACCAAGAGTTGGACGCTTAACTGACTGCACCACCCAGGTGCCCTTGGACTAGAAGATTCTTGATTCTGTGATTTTTATTCCAAGTTGACTTTGTACTTACCCTGTTCTTCAGAAACTTAGCTACTACTATCGACTAGTACATAGTCAAGTCAAAAGATCTTTTAAGGATTCCAAAATATGGAGAGTACCTCCTAGCCCAGTGGGTGAGAGTATATGTCTTTAGAAAAATGGGCTTACATCTATTGAGCACCTAATATAAACAAATGCCCTAATTTCACCTTCTCATGAGATGAAGAGGGAACAAGAGATTAGAGTTACATACATGTTGACAGTGCCAAATTTCAAGGGCCATTTTCCACTATATTGCACCATCTCTAAGGAATTTCTGTAGTTAGTGAAAAAAAAAAGTATAGGTAATACAAATGGATTTAAAATGTGCATACTAAAATTCAGGTAGAGTTAGGCTTGATCAAAATCCCTGCTATTAAACCTATGAAGGCGGATGTGGGTAGAGGATGAGGATCTAGTGATTTAACCAGTTCCTCCAGTTTAATTTTACACTGAATCACTTATGTTGAAAAATAGCTCTTTTTTTAGATGCATAGCAAATGTAAGTAGTATGGTTTTATGTGGAAGAGAAAGATTAAGTTTAATATTTAGGTTTCAGATAAGCTTGTTAGAAATTCAAGCTAAATTCAAGGTAGAAGTAAACGTAGGAACAACTGGATGTTGAAACAATAGTTCTAGGGTAGAAGAGCCTATCCTCCTCTTAATGCAGGACGTTCCATAACATTTCTAATAGTTTTCTTGGTTTGCTTGGACATTTCCAGTGATAAAAAATCCATTGACTCCTAAGACTGGCCATTTGATCTTTGGATTTAAAAAAAAAAACTTATGAAGTAGTACTTTCTTGTAAATTGAAATCTGCCTTGCCATAATGTTCATGTAAAGGTTTTTAATTTGCACTCTGGTGTTTATGTAGGATAATCTGCTTTACAAAAAATTCCACTTCAGGAGCACCTGGCTGGCTCAGTTAACAGAGTATACGACTCCTGATCTCAGGGTCCTGAATTCAGGCTGCATGTTCGATGTAGAGCTTGCTTAAACAAAAACAAATGATTCCACTTCAGATGTGGGACTACTATCTTGTTCCTTCTAGAATTTCTTCTCATGCTAATCTTCAGTTTCCTCAATATTCCTTTTTTTTTCAAGATTTTATTAATTTATTTGACAGACAGAGATCACAAGTAGGCAAAGGGAAGCAGGCTCCCTGCTGAGCAGAGAACCTGTCGCAGGGCTCGATCCCAGGACCCTGAGATCATGACCTGAGCCTAAGGCAGAGGCTTTAACCCACTGAACTACCCAGGCACCCCTAATATTCCCTTTAATGGTTTAGAAAACTATTCTTACCCCAAAATGCTTAAAAAAAAAAAAAGAAAAAAAGGTAATTCAAAGTTGGAAAGGATACCATTTTAATATTCTCTAAAACAAGATTCTACACCTTTCTTTTCCATGCTATCCAACGTACAAACACTTCTAGGATGATGGATTTTGTTGTTCATTAATTAACAGTGTCATTGCCAATGCAGAGAGAACCTGGGGAAATAATTTTGGCTCAAGCAGGCAGAATTTGGATTCCAAATAGTGATGTGCAGCTTAACTAATTTAATATTCAAATATTAAATCATTTAGAGTGAAATGAAAAAAATATATATGTAAGTTTAGATTAAAAAAAAGGAAATCTGGAAATAACTTTTTGAGCAGAGTAGTAACATAGGACTTGCATTTTAAAGATTTTATTTATTTATTTGACAGAGAGATCACAAATAGGCAGAGGTGGGGGTGGGCGGTGGGAAGCAGGCTCCCTCCCTGCTGAGGAAAGCCTGATGCAGAACTCGATCTCAGGATCCTGAGACCATGACCTGAGCCGAAGGCAGAGGCTTAACCCACTGAGCCACCCAGGTGCCCCAGGACTTGCACTTTAAAAACAGGTATGTTTTCATTCAACTTGTTTTATATTTGAAGGATATTAACCATTTGAATGAATTACTTAAAACATTCAAAATAAAAGATCAAACATCTCTGACTCTTCGGAAGGAAAATAGTTAACAGCTCACATTTTCTTTTAAGACAGCCCAGTTTTGGGGTTCCTGGCTGGCTGAGTCAGTAGAGCATGTAACTCTTGATCTTGGGGTTGTATTTGATCCCCACATTGGTGTAGAGATTACTTAAAAATAACATCTTTAAAAAAGACAGCCCAGTTTTCATGCAACTGCTACATATGATAATTAAAACTGCATCTTAAAATAAATGTTCAGTATGTAACAGATTTAAAGGTAGCTTCCAAACATTCTGGCTGCCCCAAATCTTTATTTTTATATAAAAGATGAAACTATTTATGGCATTCCCACATGTAATTTCTTCTCATTGAGCCGCATATTTTTGAAGGATAATCAGTATTTACTCTTTAAAATACTTTTTTTCATTATAAATGAGTATCAATAGGACTAATCCTGAGCAGCAGAATCAACCATTTGTTGACATACCACCCTTGAAATTTGTACATTTCTTCCAAAACATTTGAAGGAACATGTATTATAACTAAAATTACTTTCAGTACATACCGGAGAATTGATGGCTTAGAAGAAAAACATCACTTCTTCAGTCTTAAAAATTATGTAGTCAAAATATTACAAATGCAAATTCCTGGAATATTACTTTTCAGCAGGACATGCTTATGAAAACTAGAGTGAAAAATTCTGTTTTCTATACCTGGTATTCTCTACTATTGCTTGAAGGAACTACCTATTTTGGCATAAACAGGGCTAGTTTTATTTCACCTTCCCTAACAAAACGTCAAAACATATTTGTAGGTAAATGCCTATCAGGCCTTGGAAGTGAAAATAAAGATAAATCACACGATGACTGAAAAACTAGTTTTGCTACATAGAAGTAGTTTTAGGGATGCCTGGCTGGCTCAGTCCATACAGCATGTGACTCCTGATCTTGGGGTCATGAGCTGAGCATAAAGATGAAAAACAAAACGTTTTATTAAAAAAGTAGTCTGGGTGGCTCTGTGGGTTAAGCCTCTGCCTTCAGCTTAAGTCACGGGTCTCTGGGTCCTGGGATCAAGCAGCATCGGGCTCTCTACTCAGCAGGGA